TTATAGTGACTAGTGTGGTTAAAAAAAAAAAGTAATTGTTTCGTTCTTTTAATCTAAATGTTTAAAAAAGTTAATATGTCACCGACTCAAAAATCCGACTATCAATAAATGTGTGAAGTCCAGTGCTTCCAAAGGGAATCCACTAATTCATCTGGCCCTCCCAATCTGCTGATCATTATAAGCCAGATAAACCAGACTAAATGTGAGATTAAATGTGTAATTTAGTAGAGACATCGGAAGATTGTTGATGAGAAAAACCCCTTGTTTTTCAAACCATGTCTGTGCCTATTGGCCAACGCCTGACCGATGAGTGCAGCTGACTGTGACGTAGTAAGCGCGACAGAAAGCTGGTGGGGGAGTGTAAACAAACAGCCCGTTGATAAAACGGCGAATACGTCCTTCTTAGAAATGAACGAGCGTATAGAGCCTCTTCCTGCTCACGTTTCAACGAAAACTCCAAGTCTAGTCCTGAGTCAATCGAGAACTCTTCAATAGTTTTTGCCATCTTCCTTGTTTTGCTTCTTCCAGCATCGTGCAGCTTTGTCATCCCGCCCTCAAAACCCCGCCCGCTTTGCATCCAGAAATTTAAAACATCTCTGCGTTGTGATTGGCTCGCCAGTTCTAGGGCATTGATTGAGGCTAGAACATTCGCAGGCAAAAATGATTTTGGCCGTTGTCGGGTGGGGCTAGTTTACTACGCTAGATCACTATAATAACAAGGATAAATTCAGCCATTTTAAAACCTTATCAGCGTAATTTTGTGATGATTAGACAGCCAAAAGCTACTAGCAAAAATCAACCATTAGTCTTTTCTAATGGATATAAACACAATAAAGTCAGTCAACATTATGCTGGTGAAGATCCTCAATCATCCAGGTCATAGTCCTTCCAAAAAAAGTAAAACAATCCACTGGACTTTGTTTCCAAGTTTGAAGACTTTTCGCTTCCCATCCATGAAGCTTTTTCAGTTTAATTACTCTATTTAATTGAAAAAAACTTCCTGGATGGGAAGTTTTTATTATTATAGTATAAATATTAGTACTTGTTAATATAAATTTTCTGCAGAATGATTATTGATAAAAGTAGGTAAGTAAAGACAATAGAAGAGATGTTCACCCGGAACTCAAACCTGAAAGAATTTTATCCACTACACCTTTTATTTAGAAAGCACGTACGTTAGAATATATGCGTCTATTTGTTAGCAAAGGCTGTGGGAAAGTATAGTTTGTCTTTATTTAGAAAATATGGACATTTTGCTTGTTAATTTTCCTGTTGGAACAGAGTAGATTCACCGGGCGGTTTTGGTGCCTATCTACTTTTGGTCGCCCCTCAGGCAGAGGCGTAGCCAGAACATTTTAATAAGGGTGGCCAGGCAATAGCCAATGTAGACTCAGATAGGTTCCAGAACCTCAGGGTCAATCTACACTGTTCCAAAAGGAAAATAAACAACATCCATATTTTCTAAATAAAGACAAACTTTCCTACAGCCTTTGCTAACAAATAGACGCATATATTTAAACATCCATGGCATCTAAATTAAAGGTGTAGTGCACAAAATTACTTCAGTTTTTAGTTCAGGGGCAAATATCTTATTCATCATCATTACTAACCTACTTTTATTAATAATCA